GAGAGAGAGAGAGAGAGAGAGAGAGAGAGAGAGAGAGAGAGAGAGAGGGAGAGAGAGAGAGAGAGAAAAGTAGTTATTTCACACCCATGCAGCATGCAGAGGAAATACAACTTCCATTTGAGCTCCATAACTGAACCCAGAAGCACGAGAGGACGAGCTCGTGGGGCTCATACGCTGAGCTCATTGAACTGAAATGAGACCATTAAGCGCTGTTGTTCCCCGGCTTCCAGAAAACGAAGGTAGTAAAGGGGCCGCCGATGGATCGTTTTATGGCAGTTTTCAGTGGAGCAGATATGGAGAGGGTATTTCCTGCAGCACCCCTCCCTCCCTCCCAATTTTATGTTGTTTAGCTTCATTTGATTATCATCACAGTGAGCAGCCACGAGGCCATTAACCAATCAACTCCGCTTTGATCTGAATATCGTAGCAGTTGCAACCCCATTAGCCAATCATCACAGCACAGCATCGACATGCACAGTGCGCACACTGAGGGGACAAAAAAAAAATGAACAAAAAAAACGTCTCACGGTACTTTTGAATAATTGGTAGCAAATCTGACTGCTTCTGTGTAATGACTGAGCGTGGTTTGGTGTGTGCCTATGCTAATCTGCTGATGGGGTATCTGGGAGTTTATTCAAATGAACCATCAACTCGCTGCTGAATGGCCTGAGAAGTGACTGACAATGTGCCAGTTGGACCGCTGAAGAGAGTGAAGAGTGAATAATGTGTGAGCGCGTGTTAAGCTGCTCAAATAGGATCCGCAAAAAATGATTCTGAAAATTGGTATTCATGAGGTGCTCCTGAACAAAACACTCGATCTCGACTCGTTTTTCTAAAATTGCGTCGCGTAAAACGCACACCGCAGATCTGGGCCGGCCACGGCTTCAAAGCGTGCGAAGCCAGCGGCTGCGGCTCATAAGCAGCGCATCTACTCTTACCCAGGGTAGGTGGGGATGGCGGGCTGAGGCACGGCAGCGCGCACCGCGCTGTAGACGGGCCGGCCGCGGCCCCGGAGGTGGGCGCCGCGGAACGCCGCCGCTGTGGTGGCTGCTGCCGCCGCTGCTGCTGAGGGGTATGGGAACCCTGGGACTGAAGGACGAGAAAGGAGAGTCAGCAGGCGATCTAGGGAGGAAAGGTAACGACGCAGGGCGGGAAAAAAAAAGGACAATGTGAATGGAGGAAATCAGGATGAATTAAGGAGGAAGGAAAGAGTTGAAGGGGAACAGTCCCACTGCAGCCTTGAGGGCTTGCTATCGATAAAAGTGAGGAGAAAAGCTAGGTGGTGCGTTAATATAAATGAAAGGTTGGAGAGTGATTAAAGTGCAAAGTAGGCCATGGAGAGGTTATAAAATGTGGCTGAGGGAGACAGTAGAGTGGCCTTACCTGCGTAGATCTCAGGTCCGTACATGGCCCCCATCATGGGACTCAATTTCCACCCCGCTGCTGGTCACACAACAGAGGAAGGGGCACTTGATTAATATGCGGCAGATCACGAAGCGCATTCAATCCTGCAGCGTAAGCCCGCTGCACTTACATGGTGATTGTATACACAAATAAGAAACGACAAAAGAAAGGCACGTGGCTTTATGCTGCCTGGCAAACAGAGGGTGCTAAAGAGAGGGGCCACGGCGGAGGAATAGTCGGGATGATGGACGACCTGGGCAGAGAGAGCGGGTCGCCGCTGGCAAGACTTTATTGTAACCCCCCCCCACTTTTATTTTGCATCTATAACACACTATGATGTAGCTGTAAGCAATATGGTAACATTATATATAACATGTCTTCATAGGAGAAGTTATTATTGCAACAAATACTACATACTACATGTGCTTATAGCTGCATGCAACTACATTGTGGTGTGTTATAAACCATCTATTACACGTTTAGTATTCTGCCAAAATGCAAAAAAAAAAGGGGCGGACTGGGGTTAAGCTAACGACACCTCTTTCTCTCAGCTCACATCACGGCTGGTGGGTGGCAACTAAAATAAACGGCATGGTTGTTGGTTGCAGCCGGCCTTACATAACGAGGTCTGACTCTGCTAGCGGAGCCTGCGGGGAGGGAACGCTGCGGCTGCATTTTACATCTGCCCCCCCCCCCCCCGCGAGTACCTACGCTATCTCGGATGATGAGGCGGTGCGCGTGTGTGTGTCTGTGCGGTCGTTACCGTAAGGCAGCGTGCTGAGAGCCTCTCCGTTAGGGTAGGGGCTGACCATTTTCTTGTTGGTCATCACCCTGGCGGTGGCGTTATTCACCTGGAGGGGGGACGGGGGACGGAGGAGCAGGCGGTCAGAGACACGGACACTCAGGACACAAGTCAACACAGGACAGCAAAGAAGTGCAACACAGACTCAAACACAGTGAACGCCATCACAGGGCTGGTGTGTGTGTGTGTGTGTGTGTGTTTTGTTCAACGTGTCGGCCTCTTTGTGTACTTCTTGGTACATCTCTGAGAGTGACAACGCTATTATCTGTGTACAGTTACTGGGTCATTAAACGTGAATACTGGCGTCAACATGTAGTTTACATCACTCTGTCCTGCACGAATAGTCTGTTACATGACCTTGTTTTTATTGTGGAAATGCTCACTTTAGCTGGTTTAAATGTCGGCGTCACGTGTAAAATACTGCGCACACAAACACGTGACTGAATAAACGTCTAAAACGTTGAAGTCACTGGTGTTATACTTTACCGGTGTGATCGAAGAGAACAAACTTAACTCCTGACATGGCTGCTAACTCTTCTAGTGTTCATTACTTGTGTGTAAAAGATGGAGGGGGGGGGGGGGGGGGGGGGGGGGGGGGGGGGGCTGTTAGGGGGATTTTTAGTCATCATGCAATTAAAAAAGCCAGTCTACTGGGCCAGTTACCCAGTAGAGATGTGGTGACTCATTGTGGACTCATTGTAAAGGGAGACGAGGGCACAGCAGAGGAAAACTGAGCTGTACTTGTTCATGTTCTTTGGCACGCACAGGTGAAAATATTGTGTATGTATTTTTGTTTGTTTTTTTAGGTGTGCGCGCATGTTCCGCGCACGCTGGCTGACATTTCCGTCTAATGCTCAGGCTTTCAATCCAAGATGACTGATAATCTCCTCTCTGAGCTTCAAAAGGCTCACACACACTCCGGTCCCTTGATCTATCTCCATCTTCCTTTGATGCGTCTTAAGAGAAGGAGACTGTAGCTCTCCGTAATAACCCGCGCCGCTGGAAGCTCTACGTCCGGCTGTGTGGCGAGCCTGAAGATTAATGACCTTCTGGTTAAATGAGGGGAGAGTGTGCGAGAGACAAAGAAGAGGGGAGAGAGAGAGGCCGAGGAATGGAGAGCGCTACACGCCGCACTCTCCATTTAGGAGACCATTAAGCTCTCTCTCTCTCTCTCTCTCTCTCTCTCTCTCTCTCTCTCTCTCTC